AGAGTCTTTTTGATAGTAGTTAAGCGAGATAAAAGAGATGAGCGGCCTCCGAAACGCGCTCAAAGCTGCTGATAAGAAACGTTAAATTAATGTGACAATAAGGCAATATTAGGCTTTTCTTGGTCTTTGGCAAGTCTGCAGGCTTCAGATATACGCTTTTCAACTTTATTGTCATATTTAGTCATGTTGGTGATAAGTAAAAGCTTTGAATAGCTTCAATTTTATCGTTTGAGTGGGAATTATCGTTTGGGTGAGGCAGACCAACACGCCGAACAGGCGGGTGGGGCTGCTGACCTAAGAGACGGATAGATACAGACGACTCGGATTTGCCACGAAGACTGAAGGACATAAATGGTCTTCGGATTGCTTGCACACCCTTGATACTCTAAAATAAAGCAATCAAGGCTTGCCTGTGAGTTATTCAATGTGCCACCACTTGATTTATACATATTTTGATGTCGGTAATGGCGGGTGTGAAAGCGGGAAGCTATAAGGGGCATGTTCTGCTATTATCTGCCGTTCCCAACGGCTTACGGGGCCACTGAGGATCATCTTAACGGCATGATGCTTGTTGTCTACTAGCTTTGTGGCATGCTAGAGTACCATTTCACAGACACAGGGGTAATCCCTGAAACATCCAGGCCTTTGTAGCTAACCTTGTGGGCATCGTACAATTCGCACTATAAAGTAGGATGCTATGCGGATGACATAGGTTTAGCGGGCTAAAATGAGATCAATCGTGGTGAGGTGCTGCACAGCTTGCTATATTATGGACAAGAATCACTTACAGTATCTTCCCTCTAGCGCTCCAAAAGCTGGGCTCCGGTGATCAACAAGCTTTGGCATTCTGGACTACTAAAATGAACCCATTCTCACGCTTGAAACACAATTATTCTGAGTAGATCGTGCTAGAGAAGTCATCGGGGAAAGTACACTCAGTTATGAGCGCGTCAACGTGGCTGAGACCATTGTCAGTCCGATAGTTTCGACTGACAGGAATATGATATTCTCACGAGATAATAGCTGATCGCGTAAAGCGGGTCAGATGGGGCAACCAACAAGCTGACGTCAGAAAAAAAGGTAGATCGACTCTAGTGCTGTAGTCTGTCTTAGAGGCAGAGGCACAAAAGTAAGTCGATCTTAGTAAAACGGGCGTGATTCTCTAGGCGTCTCGTAATATTCCCAATGTCCTCCGCATTTTGAGCCGTACCTACCTCACTCAGCCTTCTATATCCGGTGACGATCAGTAAGGCTGAGCGCACATGACCTCTACTGACGGGTCAAAATATAAGTGGAAGGCTATTTGGACGATACTGCTGCGCTGGCAGTACCACCTTACCGTCTGTTTTAGATATTTTTACCGAACATTAAAGGATAATTGCTCTAGAATAGACGGTGATTGTTTGACCATGGAACATCTTTTCGAGATGTGCATACTTGGGGAGGAAAAAAAAGCAAAGGAAAAAAAAAAAAAAAAAAAAGAGAGAGAGAGAGAGAGAAAAGAAAAGAGAGAATTGCGCAGATTATCCAATCAGCCTCTTGATCTGCCAAAGTCGGTATGTAGTACTACTTATAGAATGTAAGGTTAATCCCAGGATTGTGGTTAACTTACCGACTGTTGAGTTTGCTTTTCTTCTTTAACCTAAGCCACGGAAGTTACTCGTCTTTGTATACTATTCTCCCCCCGGTTTCATTATCCGTACAATCATTATGGGAAGGGCCGTCCGACCTTCAACAATGACCTCCCCCTTCGTAGTCCGTCTTGTACAAGGCGCGGTCTAGTCCGCAGCATGAAGACCCAATGCGAATAACTTCCCTCAGTCACACAGATCAGATTATGCCAAGCAGCCACTCGTATAGGCCGACCCCAGATTTGCCAACCTCTTAAAGTTCCCCTAATATGGCGATGATTGGGCCAAATGCAAAGTTCACTGCCTTCCTTGTCTGCTTTTCCCGCTCTTTCAACACAAGCCATTCCAGACAGGTTCCTCCAATCAATAAGGGCTGACATTCGGGCACACAGGCTCCCAGGCTCCACGCAAACAAAGCGAAATCCGAGTCAGCCCTCCGATAGCATGAGCCTAGAAAAGACAATCGTCGACAGAGGTCCAACCACCATGACCACTGAATCACTCTGCCCCAGTGAAAGTATTGCCTCATATCAGCGGAAGTATCCCATACTAACTGGGCACCTTCAAATACCCACAAAGCCGCTGCAGCATCTCCAAAAACCTATAGCGGCTCCTGTTTTTTACTTATATCCACTCACTGTATATCTGTCTCCTCATCTTTGAAGCCAGAATTAAACTACCTCCCTCCACGTGGATGACCGGTCTGTGGAGTTTGTTGTAAACCAGATGGGACCTCGGCTATATTTCATGAATTTTTTAATCTCTTAGACTTCACAGTGGCTGCTGGTTCTTTGTTGGCTTCCGGTGCACCTGAGCAACCGCTGCCCTACCCACGGTTATTTTTATCGACTATACCGTTTCCGATTCCAAAATTGTCCGTTCTTTCTGTCGTTGCTGTTCATATTGCAGTCTCTGCGCCTATATCTAACGCTGTTTAGTCCTTCCCTTCCCGGTATCTTCAAGTTGAAGCAATTGTTCCTTTAGTTTTGTTTGACACCCTTCCAATCGCAGGATACGTACATAGTGGTGTCGGTCACATGCACACACAATGTTTGGGAAAGAGGATATGGGGCCTTTTGCAGACCCTCAACACAAAAACGATACCGAGCATGTGGAAAGAAACGAGAACGCCATGCCACGGCGCATCTTAGGGACCGCTGCAGAGCGTGCAAGGCGCAACATCAATGCTAAACTAGCCAATCCACTGGCGGGGTATTCCTATGAGGAACTGCGCAAACAAGGTATCAACTTCGCTGTTACACACCACATAGGGGATGAAGAAGATATTCGTGCTTTTGGAATAGGTGCTGTTCTGGCCCAAGTACCGGAGAAATTCAATCATGTTCCCGACCTGAGGCCCGATGAAATAGAAGTTCTACAGAAGGAGTTCTCCAATCGTTGGTCCCAGCCCTGGACAATGTACCTAGTCATCGCTCTATGCTCCCTGGCTGCGGCCGTACAAGGAATGGGTACGCTAGTAACATACCTACTTTCCATCTATATCTATGTTGAAGTACGGTAAGCTGACATCAAACCGGCATCTTAGATGAGACTGTCGTCAATGGCGCCCAAATCTTTTATAAACATCAATTCGGAATTGGGAACGATGACTCTAGGTCTAATTGGCTGGTCGGTTTGGTTAATTCTGCTCCTTATTTGTGCTGTGCTGTCATTGGTTGCTGGCTGACAGTGCCATTCAATGCTTGGTTTGGCCGCCGGGGGACTATTTTCATCACTTGCTGCTTTTCTGCACTTGCCTGCCTTTGGCAAGGGTTTGTGAACACGTGGTGGCATATGTTTATTGCCAGGTTTGTGTTAGGCTTTGGTATCGGCCCCAAATCTGCGACAGTCCCAATATATGCCGCCGAAACAGCCCCTCCTGTCATTCGCGGTGCTTTGGTAATGCAGTGGCAGATGTGGACTGCGTTCGGCATCATGTTTGGCTATGCTGCGGACCTTGTCTTCTATGAAGTGCGAGATCCAGTAGGGATCACAGGCCTAAACTGGCGCCTCATGGTGGGCTCGGCGATGCTTCCAGCCATCCTGGTTTGTTGTTTTGTTTTTACCTGTCCAGAATCACCTCGTTGGTATATGTCGCGGAAGTGCCACGATAAAGCGTATCGATCAATGTGTAGCCTGCGGTTTCACAAGATCCAAGCTGCCCGTGACCTCTTCTACATGCACACATTGCTGGAGGCCGAGAATGGAATGAAACTCGGCCAGAATAAAGTACTCGAGATGATAACCGTTCCCCGCAATCGGCGTGCCTTGGTTGCATCTGAGTTGGTCATGTTTCTCCAACAGGTGTGTTCCCAATTTCATATGACCTATACTTTTACGGTGGTGAGTATGCTGACTATGATATAGTTCTGTGGTATGTGCCATAAACTTAATGAATCCAACATGGTCAGGTTTTGCTAGGTACTTACTCTTTCTCTATTTAGGGGTCAACGTAATAGCCTACTATTCTTCCGAGATCTTCCTGGAAGCAACAAACCAGCGAAACGCTTTGACGGCATCCTTAGGCTGGGGTCTGATCAACTGGCTCTTTGCCATCCCAGCAGTGTACACCATTGATACTTTTGGCCGTCGCAACTTGCTACTTACCACATTCCCTCTGATGGCACTTTCCATGTTCTTCACCGGCTTCAGTTTCTGGATTCCACAAGAAACTCACAGCTCTGCGCGACTAGCATGTATTGCTCTGGGTTTATATCTCTTTGGCATTGTTTATTCCGTAGGAGAGGGCCCTGTGCCATTCACCTATTCAGCCGAAGCCTACCCGCTCTACATACGTTCGTATGGCATGGCCCTCGCCACTGCGACAACCTGGTTATTCAATTTCACTCTTGCTGTTACATGGCCATCTCTTCGCAGCGCGTTTACCCCGCAAGGAGCATTCAGTTGGTACGCAGGCTGGAACATTGTGGGTTGGTGGCTGATACTCTTGTTGATGCCTGAGACTAAAGGAAAGACACTGGAAGAGCTAGATCAGGTTTTCTCCGTTTCCACAACTTTTCATGCTGCGTACGGACTTCGGCAAATCCTATATTTCTTCCAAAGATATATCTTACGCCAGAACGTGCGGCCGGAGGTCTTGTATGAGCGGGAAGATGCATTTAGCGTTCCACCAGAAGCTGGTTACAACACTCTATGAGCAGATTGAGGGCAGTATGTATATAGTGTACGATTTGTTATGTTCACATGCTTGAGATGCGTTATGACATGTATTGTACCTTCACAATTTCGCTACGAGATAACTATGATACCATCTATACTGGGGCCTTAATTTGCCTACAGTATCTGTCGCGTGACGAGACCAGAGTGGTCCGACGATTAGATTAAGTTGACTAGGTTGTATAGAAGATACGCGCTTTCTTGGACCAAAATAAGTTTCCAAAATTTCATTTCATTTATTTTTTATTTTTATTTTTATTTTTTTTTAAAAAAAAAAAGAAACAAAAATTTGATTCGTTTATATGAGTATAACAATGAACAACATGGGGGTATTGAGGGGAACTTCGTCAGACAGCAGTTGGTACGATTATTGATCCGCATGGATTATACTCGGAACAGGTCTGTGTGAAATCTTGCTTCATCATCCGAAGTATTGTGACAAAAAAAATTTAAAGAAAGAAAAAAACGAAATAAAAACAAAAACTATTCCACTGCGCGATTCAAGCCGTTGGACGAGGGGAAAGAAAAAAAATTTTTTTTCTCCCCTTCCAAATCCGAATATGACGCCAAAGCCACAATAAGCATGAGCTCGAATAGACGCATCAGTCCATCATAATTGATCACGCATTATTGCCGAAATCGCAGTCCATAACGACCAGATATAACTCGGTCAGCAGTTGAAATATCCTCTGGTAGTGTTCAGAGCTAGGGGAAAAAGCTGCGAGAAAGGTGTGATACAAAGGGGAAAGATGGAAAACAAACCGACGATAGCACAAGAATTTATATGCAATTTTTAGCGCCCCTTCGCTAATGGACCAACCAGACGGAGGAGCTATGATAAGTGGTTTGCATAGTTTGCGCAGTTTGTAACGCGGGCCTTCCGCGGGCGCCCAAAAAAAAAGTAAATCCGCAATTTTTCGAAGTAGGCATCAGCACTTGTGATTTTTGTTCTATACCGGCTTTCGCCTGTGCGAGATTCTTTTTGGACTGTTGGGCCTACGAGACCTTCTTTTCTTTCTTTTAATTGCATAGCTTTTAATTCATTTCGCTGTACGTATCCAACGGTAAGATATCCGTCTCGATCATTGTGCTCATCATTGTCTTTTCCGGAAATATGTAAATTTTGTGCCGCATTAATGTGCTAACCATTTTTTTTCGCTGGCGGTTCAGGTCGATTTTTACATACCCTGTTTATATTACTATCCAATAATACATATATCAAAATGGTCGACGCTCCTGAGAGTCCTGTCCCGCAGCAACAAAGTGTGTAGGAGAAAGTACCTTGGGGCTGCTCATTTGGGGCTGGATCCAACAATGAAGACAATGTTCCATGAATCACTAATGAGTCCCTAGCTCCCGTTAAGTCTTTCCAGAATGGAGTCAGAACGACAGGCCGTGCCTTCCATTCCCCCAACTGGCGTGTGAAGGGTGAGGAGAGCCCCAATGCGCAAAGCGCGGGGTCCCCGGGTCCGAAGACCAATACCTCAAGAATCGCATTCAGCAGACCCAGCCCTCATGTCCCTCAAGCTATTTCCGAAGGACGCCGTCTATATGTGGGCAACATGCCCTACACTGCCAAGTCGGAGGATGTGCAAGCGCTGTTCACCGCGGCCGAGTTTCCAATGTATGAGTGAGAATAACTGTATAAAGATGGGTCAAGACTGAGTGCTTCATAGCGAGCGGATCGACATTGCCATTGACCCGTTCACCGGCCGTAACCCTTCATATTGCTTCGTCGACCTTGAATCAAAGGAGTTGGCAGAGAAGGCCATGAACGAATTGGATGGTCGCGACATGCTTGGCCGTCCGGTTAAGATTAAGCCGGGTGTGGTCAAGTCTTCTAGCGAGCGCTCCCAGCAACAGCAACAGCAACAGCAGCGGGCAGACGGATCTCCTCGCTCTGACAGTAAGACATCGCTTTTCACTATGGACCGGTGGCGCCGCAACGATGCTCCTACCTTTCCCAGGACCAACAGTGATTCCAGCCGTCGGCTCTATGTCGGTGGTCTTCCCCGGTTGACCGATCAAGAAGAAATTTCCAGCAATATCACAGAATTCTTCAAGGACTACAAGCTGTATGCTTTTTCTTCCCTGAAAAGCTAGGTCGCCTGATGATACTGACATAATTGACTGCTAGTGAGAACATTAGCAAGCTGTTCACTCCCCACCCCGCGAAGCGCTTCGATCCCGGTGACCACTACTACTTGTTCGTCGACTTCGGCAGCGTTGAAGAGGCACAATCGGCCATGAACGCCTTGAATGGGCAGGAGGGTCCTTGGGGGGCCCCTATCCGAGTGCAGAGGGCTCGCGGAGAGACCAACTCTGAAGATCGGAAGAACAAGTGGTCTTCTGCGCGAGGAGACGAAACCCCAGCTACCGGCGATGTCTCCGTTGCTGTTTAAAATAACCCCGAATAGTCAGTCATGCTTTGTTGGCTAGAATATAATTGCATAAACTTGGCGCTCAGAATTAAAAAAACGGCAAAGGCAAAATTGGAGTTTGGCGCTTTATCACTTTGAGCAGGATGGACTTTTCCAGATTCTTGTCAGAACAGGCCCTCCCGAATTCGTTCTATCTTGGCGTCAAAAAAATCCTTCCTGCAGCGGCACAGAGCATCATTGTCTGCTCAAGAAGACATGCACGCCTCGGCCTTGTATGGAAGGCAAAAAGGACACACTTGACGCCGGTCAACGCTTGGCTATAGTTTTTTCAAATCTATCTCTCCACATGGATGACCAAGGCAAGAGCGGCTAGGGCAGAAAGAAGGAAAAATATGGAAAAGGAAAAGTGGATTTCAATGATGATTGACGACAAAAGGGGTAAAATGGAATAGATCACGTCAATGAAGTTCCAATGTGACTATGATTTCTCTAGTGTCTAGACCTGTTCACTTAGCTTCCCACTAATCAATGTAACCGTCGGGAGTGTGAGGATCTGCTTTTCCCTGAATAGGTGATTCAACCGATGGGCTGATGCGATGGATGGATCTATTATTGACATCCTGAACCTTGACCGGATGATGCTCCAGTCCCACAAGGCAACCCATGACCTCTTGTGATCCAATCGGTGCAATTCCAGTTTTTGTCAGGATATACTTAGTAGTAGTATACCCCTGGATTACATGCAGCCAAATCTGGAGTAGGATTCCGATGATGATCTAGACGGTGTGTTCCAAGATTAGATCGGGAGGGTCCCAGTGGAAGCCTGGAAGGTCTTTCCGGCTTCCAGAACCGGGGGCTGCGACTTTACCCGACGAAAAACGTACCGGAGGGTCACGTGGTGAGTTTTTGGAGGTCCCGGATTTTCGTCATCCCTCATAAAAAGCGTGTAGGTTTTTTGAAATTCTGCTTTAAATTTCTTTTTATTTTTCTTGTAGTATTTCCAACAATTTGGAACCATTTCATCACCGGCAAGTTCAGCTCTCCTATAGCTAGACTAGCAGAAGTTGTGGTGACTTTTGCCCCACGGCATGACGTCTGTGCTGATCCCCTTTACTTTCACTCCTTCACCGCATCAACAGTTGGGCCTCCATGGGATCCAACCAGATCTCTTGATTAATTTACATTGACTACTCTAATCGTCCCTTGCGAAGCACGACAGCCGGATCTGTCCAGTCATTGAACAGTGATAGTGCAGATACTCGAAAGATTAAAAAATTAAGAGCCAGGGAAAAGTCAATCTTGCGGAAAGACTAAAAGTCCCTATTTCTTTGTCCTGAACGCTATTCCACTTCAGCCTAACTTTCCTCTTCTCCGGCCTTCAGTCCCGTCGGACAAACAGTGGCCGAGGCTTGAATTCGTCTTTCTCTTGTCCCCGTGTTGCATATCCTGATTTGAAAAAATCCATCCCGATTTGTTGCCCAGCATGTCTGTGAGAAGAGGTCAGACCAAGAGCTACTTTGCCAGTGTAAGTTGTTCCCCGATGCTTGAACGATACTTGTTGGTCGCATTTCCGCTCTTTCACTATTTTTGAATACATGCCTGTCATTCTTCATTCTATGTTATCAAACAAAAGTTGAATATTCGACTTGGTGCTCGATAAACGTAGTGAATCTCCTTTTCTTTTATATGTTCCTTTCCTTTTCTTTTCACTGTGGCCATGTGCTTGTGTTTTGGCAACAATGTCTTTCAAAATCTAGATGGTGAGCTCATGGCGTCATCGAGTCCATCCGCTGTCGGCTGCCTTTATCACCCTAATTACTGCCCCATTATACTTCTCTCGAGGAAGCTTTGATACATGCAACACACGTACTCACTATCAAACTAGGCAGATGACACTAAAATTTGTGTCGTTATGGTTGGCCTTCCAGCCAGAGGCAAAAGTCTCATAGCTGGAAAGGGTATGTGATTCCCTGGGCGTAACTCTTTTATGTGCTAGGTGCTAATACACAAGCTAGCAATGCGGTATCTTGCCTGGGTTGGCATACCTGCTCGTGTATTTAACGTGGGCACCTATCGCCGAAGTAATACACCGCAACCAAGTGCGACTTTCTTTGACCCTCACAACTCCGAGGGAGAGAAAATGAGAAAGGCCGCTGCAGAAGCTGCCATGTCAGATATGCTTCAATGGTTCAGCTCTGGAAAAGGGGTTGTGGCTATATTAGATGCTACCAATTCGACTAAATCTCGGCGAAGTTGGATTTACGAAAGTTGCCATGCTGCCAACGTTGAAACATTATTCGTTGAGTCAATATGCGATGAAGAAGACCTAATAATGAATAACATCCTCGAAGTCAAGACCACCTCGCCGGACTACAAAGGGCAGGACCCTGAGGCTGCTGCTTTGGATTTCCGCAATCGAATTCGCAATTACGAAAAGGTGTACGAGACTATTGACGATAATGAGAAGCATTACACCTACGTAAAACTCATCAATGTCGGGTCGACAGTGATCATAAACCAGATTAAAGACTATCTATCTAGTCGGTTGGTTTATTATATCCAGAATCTCCACATCAAACCCCGGTCAATCTGGCTCTCTCGTGTAAGTTGACACAGAATGAGTCAAGTATTAAAAGAGACATTTGTCTAACTCACGCTAGCATGGAGAATCAGAATATAATCTTACAGGAAAAATTGGTGGAGATTCCAACATTTCGCCCCGTGGCGAGGCTTATGCTCGGGCACTCCCTGGTCTGCTGAAAAAGTCGGGGGTGCCACCCAACACTAAAATCGTCATTTGGACATCTACTCTCCGACGGACAATCCAGACCGCTCGACACCTCGCCGCGGAAACTGGATACGAGAAGCTGGAATGGAAAGCTCTTGATGAACTTGACTCAGGAGTGTGCGACGGCCTGACGTATGAACAAATCGCTGAAAAGTACCCAGAGGACTTCGCCGCGCGTGACGAGGACAAGTACAACTACCGCTACCGAGGCGGTGAATCGTACCGCGATGTTGTCATTCGTCTTGAACCTATCATCATGGAACTGGAACGCAGTGAGAATGTCATCATTGTCACTCACCAGGCTGTTCTGCGGTGTATATATGCCTATTTCCTAAATACCCCCCAGGAGCAGAGCCCGTGGATGGAGGTTCCCCTACATACTTTGATCAAGCTTACTCCTCGCGCCTACGGCACCGATGAGCAGCGTTTCAAAGCCGACATCCCAGCCGTGTCTACCTGGCGTGCCAAAGGCACATCTGCAAAGCATCAAGATTACCCTACAGAAATCAAAGCATGACATGCTAGTACATAACCGATTAGGTTCTTAGCACACGTTTTGGCTGCCAACCGTGTTCGATTGTTCTGTTTCCGTTCGGGCTGTGCCTTCGATCTTGTCCACCGCTCCTCAAGACATCTGGAGTACCAAAATGCCCTGCATACATTATTTTCTCAACTTATTATATACCTTTTCTTCTATATAATCCCATGCTTTTAACAGGTCTCGGTCGGCTCCCAGTCACACATATAAAGCGGCTGGCATTATTTATTTGATTCCAATGTCTTCGCATTCACATTAACACAGCCTCAAGATCCATTCTCTCTGGGGGCAAGACCGTATGGTTATGGAGTGAGGCTGCATGCAAGAACAGCTGGCAGGTGGAGACTAGGACCCATTGCACTTCAGCATTTGAGCGTCTTATCCGGTGAATAAAAAAAATATAGAATTCTCTGTCCATATCCATTCTTGTTATTCGTCTTTGTTATGTTTCCCTTGATCGAGAAGACCATTAAATGCCTAATAGATGGTAAGAGCAATAATAAATATGAAAATCCTCCAGGACACGGAGTACATTGCAAAGCAAAGCTGGAGCACCCGAGGTGGACTACTAGTAGAGTCCATGCGACATGCGCTGCAACATCATTGGCTGGGACGAAAGGCGGCGAGACCATTTAGTTGTGTCACATGAGGCGGAAAGCGGCCGTCAGGATGAGGTCCCATATACTAGTAGTGTCACACGCTTGGCGACAACGGGAAGTAGTGCTTGCCGATACCAGAGAAAAGCTGCAACAGGGGAGCAATCGCAGCATGCGTCTCCGCTTCATTAACTTCCCATGATTAAGCCTGGCTGGACATGACTCTATCCCGCTCCTCAAGTGAAGAGGCGCGACCACGGAAGCTCGCTGCCAAGCCATGTTATCCGCGTTCACAGCTCGGCCTCTCGTCGAGCTCAAGCCCCGAGACAAGTCTAGGATTGAGTCGGTGCTCGCCTACGGCGACCGACTCCTTGTCGGACTAAACAATGGGAGCTTACGGATATACAGAGTAAACGAAGTTGTCCCAGACGAACAAAACCACGATGACAGCAACAACCATAGCCATGACGAACAGGGCGGTGGAGGTACACTCAAGAACGGGGACAGTGGCCGGCCTGGGACGACGGAGTCCGTCACCAAGCCAAAACAGACTGATTTACTTAGGGAATTGGAGAAGTTCTCGAGATACAAGATTGAGCAGCTGGCTCTGATCAAGGAGGCTAAGCTTCTCATCTCGCTCTCGGGCGGATACGTTTCGATTCATGACCTACAGACCTACGAATTCCAAGAACAGCTTACCAAAACAAAAGGAGCAACCACGTTTACCGTGACTTCAAATATTGTGAATGATCCCGAAACCGGAGTTCCGTCCATTGTATCTCGTCTTGCGGTTGCGGTGAAGAGAAAAATATTGCTATGGTCATGGCGCGATATGGAGTTAGACAGCGATGCCGCTGAGATGACACTGGTCAGTGGGATCAAAACACTCACATGGGTTTCCGGGACAAAACTTGTGGCTGGACTCGGCTCGAATTTTGTAATGGTGGATATCGAGAGTTCGATGGTGACCGAATTGGCCGGACCGGGAAGCATTGGAGGTCTCGGGGGTCAGGAGACGAGTCGTCTAGCCGGCGTCGGGGTTGCTAGCATGAGTTATATCGGAATTGGCGGCGCAGCTCCGAAGCCACTGGCGACACGGCTTAGCGAAGGGCAGATATTGTTAGCGAAGGACATCAACACCCATTTCATCGATATCAACGGCAACTCCCGGGGACGCAGACAGATCCCATGGAGTCATGCTCCGGCAAATATCGGGTACTCTTACCCTTTCCTCCTCGCGCTTCATGACCCTTCAAAGGGTGTAATGGAAGTTAGGAACCCGGAAACACAGTCATTGTTGCAGTCGGTGGCTCTGCCATCTGCGAACATCTTACATTTTCCCCAATCAAATATTAGTTTGGCACATGCAGGCAAGGGTTTTCTAGTTGGCAGTGACCGCACCATATGGAGGATGGAGGCCCTGAGCTACGATACGCAAATAGATACCCTTGTGGAAAAGGGGTATTTGGACGAAGCGATCAGTCTTACTAGCATGTTAGAAGATGCATTGCTCAGTGACAAGAAAGGTCGACTACGGACAATCAAAATGGAAAAGGCCCAGGGGCTTTTTACCTTGCGCAAATACCGCGACTCAATGGATTTGTTCACCGAGATCTCGGCTCCCCCAGAGACTGTTATCCGAATGTACCCTAAAGTCATTGCTGGTGATCTGTCGTCAATTGACGAAGAGGAGGAGTCTGAGGAGAGCACCACAGATGATCCGTCAAAGTTAAATGATGGTCAAGTTCAGCTGGACGGTGCTAATACAGAGAATGGTCCTGCTCCAAAGACACTCAACCATGCGCCCTCGGTGAGGTCTCTCCTTCGAACTCGTACAGATGATTGGAGCGATGCTGGCAGTATCCGCGGCAAAACTACAGAAGAAGCTCGAAACGAGAAACCTCTGCACGGAAAAGACCTCTTAACTGCTGTTCGCGAATTACAGAAGTATCTGGCCGATGTACGGAGGAGGTTCCAGCGGTTCTTGAACCCTGACGGATCACTCAAGATGATCGACTCGCCCTCTGACGCAGCAAGCGAGGAGTTCACTGATTCGGTGATGAAATTACTCGATGTAACCGAGGACATCCGTGACCACGAATTCGCTGAAAAGCTGCGGGAGGAAGCCAGGCTCGTCGATACAACCTTCTTCCGGGTTTGCATGTACGCAACTCCTGCTCTCGCTGGCTCACTCTTCCGTATAGCCAACTTCTGCGACCCGGAGGTTGTCATGGAAAAACTGGAAGAAACTGGCCGTTACAATGACTTGATTGATTTTCTATACGGAAAGAAGATGCATCGTCAAGCCCTAGAGCTCCTACAAAGATTCGGTCAAGCTGAGTCTGAGACTGAAACGGCGCCGCAGCTTCATGGTCCCAAGCGAACAGTTGCCTACCTGCAAAATTTGGCACCAGATCGAATTGATCTCATCCTTGAATTCGCTGAATGGCCCGTGCGGGAAGACCCCAATCTTGGTATGGAGGTTTTCCTAGCAGACACTGAAAATGCAGAGACACTACCCCGGCACCGAGTCCTCGAGTTCTTGCAGGGCATTGACCCGAATTTGGCTGTTCGATATCTCGAACATGTGATTGGAGAGTTGAACGACATGACTCCGGATTTACACCAAAAGCTCCTCACTTTCTACATGAATCGGTTAAAGAAAAACGGATACGACAACTGGGCATTCCCTCACGATGAGGAACGCATTGTATGGAGAAATAAATTTTTGGAAATGTTGAGGTCAAGCTCTCAGTATTCGCCAGCTAAGATACTTGACAGCCTTGATCGCGATGGTACCGACTACCCATTCTACAGCTTTGATTATCCGCCCAACTAACCATGTAATAGACCCTGAATTCTTCGAAGCAAGAGCCATTGTCTTCAGTAAAATGGGCCAGCACAGGCAGGCCCTGGAAATCTATGTATTCAAATTGGAGGATTATGCGAAGGCAGAAGAGTATGTTCAGTGAACCACACGCTTTATTTACGTTCTTGGATGGGCTGCTCTAATGTACTTTCTGCAGGTACTGTAACCATTTCCATAAGGCAGAGGATATAACTGCCGAAGCCGCAGCTTTATCGGTGCTTGACTCCGATGACAAACCATCTATACATCTGACGCTACTGTCGCTGTATCTCACCCCGCCTCATGGGTATGAGCGCCGGTATGGGCCTGCGCTGGAGATACTGGCAAAGCATGGATCTCGTCTTCCACCTAGTTCAGCGTTAGAGCTGATCCCCGAGTCACTGCCTGTTAAAGAACTTGACTTTTATTTCAAGGGCCGAATGCGGGCAGCCACCTCAGCGTTAAACGAAAGTCGGATTGTGTCCAGCTTGCAGAAAGCTCAGAACTTCAAGACAGAAGCGCAGCTCATGGTCGGCGATGGGACCGATGGAAAATCATGCAGAATGAGACATGTCACCATCACCGAGGAAAGGGTATGTGGCATCTGTCACAAGCGTATCGGTGGCAGTGTGATTAATGTGTTCCCAGAGTATGTTTTCCATGCAGTATTTGTATCTTCGTTCTCCCACTGACTTGCCCATAGTAATACTGTTGTCCACCTTGGCTGCGCCAATCGTGCATCCGCTGCTTCATGAAGTTTCTTGCAAATAGAATCAGGTTGGCCTCTGTGGTAATCATGCGTTGAACATTTGACTTCCACATTCAGTTGCTGCTGTCTTTTTATTTTCTTCTTCTTTTTTTCCCCCCTTCTCCTCCTGGTCCTTTGTCTCTTCCCATCATAGTCTCTGCGCATTTCATTATCAATGCATATTATCGCAATGGAGTGGCGGATGATTTCTGCTCTTTGATACCCAGGATAGCGATGTTATCCAAGGATCCGTTACATATCTTTACTTGGCACTTTCGAGTCCCTATCACTTCTTGTAATATAGCCCGTCTCCTTGGCATGATTCCAACGAAAGTATCGAATGGAAGTCATCATGACTTCGGTCATAGACTAGTTAAATTTTCATGCATCCTCCTCGACAACCTCCTCTCCGTAGTTCTCCTCCTCTTTGCGTTCTTGCTCTGAGATCTGACGTCCCTGGGCTTCGGCGAGCTTTTTATCCTCCTCCATTCGTTCAGTCAGGAACACGTTGATATCATTCTGCAGATTCGGCACTAATTTTCTAAGTTCGGACAAATAAGCCACCTTGATCGGTACATTTTCTGGGGATGAATCGGTGGAGGGCAACGGCGAGGCGATGGAGTACTCAAAAGTCTGCGTCGACTGAGGGGCAGAGTAGACCGCACGCAGGGGATTGGATTGGGTGGAGGAAGTGCCAGCCGCCATAATGTCGGTATTGCCGAATGTCTCGTTAGTGGAGGAAATCTTTAGTCGTTTTGAATCGTGCTGATCGTCTGAGTTGATTGTGGCGGACATGGAGGGGAATATGTTGGTTGAGGGTTAGTTTGATTCATGAAGCAATAGTCGGCGGGGCGCCTGAATTATGGGAAGGCGGTGTTGGTTTCATTTCAGATTGTGCGCGGCGGAGTCAAGCAAAGATCGACGACAAATGGACACTTATGTACGGTTATAGTTCTCCGTCATCTCTCACGGCTGCTGATCCTTCTCTAGGCGGCTGAATTAATCTACGTATTAGATTCAACGCCAGGATCTGGGTAAACAAATCACAACAACCACAACCCATGACAACGGAACATGGGGAATGTGGCTATGGTGTCCCAATAACTCCGTGTGACTCGCTCTCATTTGTTGTCCCTCGTTACGTATAAATTACACACTGCCTGAACGACCAACAGCGAAACAATGTTGCGCTCGCCGATTTCACCTGAGCGCTCCTCCGCCCGACCGCCAAATCCCACTCGACCATCCTTCGATAGTGAATTGGAACGTCCAGGCTCCTCTGGAAGTGACGCCTCTTCAGTGACCTCCAATGTGACAACCATCTCCGCCGTCCAAAACCCATTTTATCAACCTCCCAGTGGGACGTCGTCCCCCCGGCCGCCGCGGACCTCATCGATTACCACCGCCACCGTGAGTAGCCAGAACGGTCCTTCGCCTACACACACTCGGCCTCCCGCTTCCTTCATGCCACAGAATGAGATATCGAGTAGGAAACCGACAGGTCGGGCGCATCCGCCCGATCTGATGATGAAACATCGGTCTCGACATCACTCACAGGGGTTTTTTGAACCCTCCCTTCCTACGGCGTCCGCATCGGACTCAACCATTTCGGCCTCGAGAATCGCAGCCCAGACTGCGATGCAACAACAGCAGCAGCAACAGGGTAGTACCACGCAACAACTGCCCAAACGGCCTCAGACCATTGTTTATACCGCGGACGATGGGTCGAGAACCAGGGGAGGTAGTATTTCCCCTCCGCCGCTACTGCCGGCTCCTTCTCTACCACCTCCTGGGTCCAGTGGATCATCAGGACAAACATATCAGAATGGCCATTCCGGTGTGGCGACCACGGCGGCCAATGTGGCGTTTCCACGACATACCGGGCTGCAGCCTCCCGGGCTGGAAGCGCCGCCGGAAAAGGAGCACAAGCAGAAAGGAGAGAAATCGAAGATGAAACTGTTTTCGAAGCCGAAGCATATTGGGATCAGCCGGGATAAAGACGGAATACCAAAAGATAGGGGGCTCCCATCGCCCAGCAAAATGGGCTTCTCCGGTGCTGGATTGTCTCGCATTGTCAGTGCATCTACAACAAGCTTAGCTGACACCTTCCCATCCAACAATTCCTCGTTGTACAACCTATCCAATGCTTCTGCGAGTACGGTGGTACCCGCCGATAAGCCTCCGTCCAGTGAGAAAGAGAAAGATAAGGAAAAGGCCCATAAGCATCATTTCTTGTCGCGGCAAAAGTTGAAATTGAAGGACCGGGATGATCATTACAATCTACCGCTATCCTCTGCTTCCAGTAACTCCAAACCGTCCGACCCGAACGCTCCCCAATCACTTTACTCGTTTACACCTGCTTCTCCGGGTCCAGCGTCGACTACGTTTGGCAAATCGGTGAGTGGGTTGGATATCCTTCACGGTGGTCGAGCATTACGGGAAAAGAAAAAGGAAGAAAAGGAGAAGGAGAAGGCGATGGCGGAGTCGGAACAGCATGAATGGATGGCTGGCCCAACAGGCGCTGGTGCATCGACTGTATTTGCGGGGCCATCATCAATTGGGTCGGCCGGAGGTCTCACGGAGGCTGCTCTTCGAGAGACCTTACAGGGCTTTGGCCTGAATAACATGTCGCCGGAGGACGCGTGGGATTTCCTGAAGGCTAAGCTGTTGGTGATTTTCGATGGGGAAGACGTCCGGATATCTATTGAAGATCTCAACAAGCTAGTGTTGATTCACATCCAGCGCTGTGTGCAAAAGCGCACACCATCCGCCATTGTAGATGATCTACGGGAGCTACTTGAGACCGGATTTGCATCCTTGAATCATACATTAAACGGCGTACCCGATGAGAAGCTGGTCCCTCATCTGGTGCAGATATGGATGCTTGTCTTTGGCACAATTCTTCCGTTCATACAGGCTGTCTTCTTACCTTTGGACCTTGAGTTCAGAGGTTGCGGGACTGTGATGAACCTTCGAGAGGCCCGCGAGTTTTGGGCTGCCGCCTTGAATGGGGACTATCCTGGGTGTGAGCTTGAAGTCCGCAACCTTGTGTTGATAGCTTTCCGCGATAAGGTCATTCTTTATCGCTACGACGGCCTTAAGGCTACATTTTCCCGTTTAAGTCTTGAAAGCATCAACTTGGGCAATTCTGCCCTCAGTGTAACGACAAAGAGCAGCAGTAGCAGTGGCCGGCCTGCAACGGCTGCCTCGCTGGATGCCGGTTTTGGCAGCTACAATTCTCAGTCTTCCACCCTCCTCAATGCTGCAGCCAGTTACTCTTCAGATTCTATGAGCTGCAACCGCAGCCGCGCTGCTTCCAATACGTCCTCCAACCCTGACCAGCTCATTTTCCAATCTTTTTCGTCCCCGACACAACGGCCGACCATCATCCATCGGTCGTCTCATACTCCCGATACGTCTCATCTCATCACGGAGACTGTTGGTCGGATGCTTCAATGCGTTAGTGTTTTAGCCAGTGTGCAGACGGGCGGCAAACCGCAAGAGAAAATCGAGCTCCTGAGCAAAGCGCTTAAGCACAACTGGCTCGGCCGTGGCCGCACCGGACGAGACCGACGAGGATTTGTTGGAGCCAAGATTCGGCCGGCGATGGTTACGCGGACCGAGAGCGATGATTCCATGATAGATAGGAACGGCGATTCAGATATTATGCGAGATGGGCATCGGGAAATGAGTGTTCTGTGAAACGGTCTACTTTGTGCATTTATCAGCTTATCTTGATTTTTTCTGGCGCACATAGATACCTTCGGCGTGATTGTCAAAGTGGGATGTTCTATGATATCCTTGGGAGTCTGTTGGATATTGGTTTTCCTTTCATTTTTCCTCTCTTCATTTTCACCATATGGCTACGGGGTCTGTTCCGAATCAATTCGCATATGCATCAAGCAGCAACATTTCCAGTAGCATTTCCAGTAGCATTTCCAGTAGCATTGCCATTCTACGACTCAGTAGAGTATCCGAACGTCATATTGTCTGGTAACCCGCGATTATTCTACGAGGAGCTTACACGGCCGTCCAGCTATATCCTCTTCATTTGCATCTAGCCCAGTTCTCTACGTGCCAATCCTTTTCCTACCCTACGGATACCATTACTCAACGATCTAACTTCTCTGCTTTAGTTTCAAAGAAAGAGTGCTGTAGAACAATTCATTTTGTCCTTACCTGCATGATAATCGAAGCTTCAGGCCGTCTAATCCTCTACAACCCTTCACCAACACTGGCAGTGTAATCGGCAAGTCTCAACACATTCACTGGTCAGAGAATCTCAGTAACCCAGCAACACTTGTTTCCTTAGCGAATCGACTAGGACTTCTTTTATTTCACCGTGCTCCTCTAATCACTACTCCCTTCATCTCATCAGACTACCTTGATATCCTAAACACTTCAACATCCATAGTCTGTACAGCTGCAGTGTTACTACACTGCTCTCTCTTACCATTCACGACCGAAAGCTCGATATCTCGAATCCCAGCTCACCTCTCAAAATCATCCACCTCTCACAAGATCCACGTACCTATCTACCAAAGAACCAACCAGCCAGCCAGCCAACAATGGACCAAGCACCTCCAACTCCACCCACACCCGCCTCACAGGAGAGCACCATGCCCGAATTCACCCCCATCAACGGCAATACTACTAAAACTTCGGTCCCCTCCCCCTCAGTAAGCCCTTTCCCCAGGCCACCAAGCCGCTAACCAACGAACTAAACAAAATCTGCAGGCCGCAGCAACAAGTACCTCCACCAAGCGCGGCAAGAAATTCGCCGCTGCCAACGGTGAGAAAGCCTCACCTCCCAAGAAGGCCAAGGCAGCAGCGGGATCCAGCCCCTCAAAGAAAACTATCGGACCCATCCCGACCTCTTTCGAGGCGGCCGGATTATCTGATCGAATGATTATCCAGATGCGGGATGAAGAGGGCAAAAACTGGGGTGAGATTAACGAGTCTTGGATGAAGATGACTGGTATCAAGGTGGGGACTAGTACGCTTCGAATGAGGTATACGACTATGAAGGCGAATTTTGTGGAGTTTACTGGGGAAGATGTATGTTCTTCTTCTTTTTTTCGTTACTTTTCCTGGACTTGGTGATGATATATGCTGACGGTAATTGTGCGTAGGAAGCGAGACTTCTTCGTTTAAAGAAGGAGATTGAGGAGAAGTTTGAGCAGGAGAAGTGGTCTAGACTTATGGAGGCTATTGAGGCAGATGGTGGGAAGAAGTACCCTGTTGCTGCTTTGCAGAAGAAGTTCAAGGATTTGGCTAAGAGCAATAACCATCTTGATGCTGTCAAAGAGGAGGAATGAGAGGCTCTGAGGTTTGTTGGGTTTCCATGGGAGGTGGGGAGCAAGTCTGAGGTAGGAAATGGCATGGCAAGTAGGTACTTGGGCTAGATACAATTGAAGATGACACAGCTGGGTAGCTATGGCGAATTTTCAGTAGAATCCTGTAAGCATAACCCTTTTCCATGAAGTCAAGTCTAACACATACCCTGGCTGGTTTAAAAGTCGACCGATAAGCCACGATAGGGCAAAAAATATCCGGTTTAGTTCTTCAGCTGACGAGAGTTCCGTCCAGGCGGGGACATCTGGCACGAGGTTATTCAATCGGAATAAATCCTGTTCGGATTGCACCCTCATCCTTGTCTATACTGGGTTGAGCTCAAGTATTCGGGATTGGGATTCTAGTGGATTTGCATTACGTGTTTTAGTGATCGAAATAGAGGTAAGGTAACTTAACTAAATGCACCTCAAATGCGATCTGTTACTGTCATTCGAATAGTCGTTTGTTTTTCCCTTCCTCCTTTTCTTCTTTTATTTAACCCTCGTTGCATATAGTCTACTATGAGAGAGAGAGCTAGGTATTAACTACTATATTTAGAATACTTCTCAGTACGCTATCCCTTACCCCGACCTGCATCCCCCTATAGAATCACCGATAGATATAGCTCAGTGCCCTAAGAGCAAAAAGTACAGTACAGCTGCACTAGCGCACAAACTACCTGCATGCGTTTCAAAGGCAGGGATGAGGGGAAGAGGAAAGAGACTAGAAATCATCGCCGATTCCTGCGGTCACAGTTGTGTAACCCAAAGATCGGCAGGTCTGGTCCTTTGGCTCATGACGATCTTTGATTTTATTTTTTTTTTATTAATTATTATTATCATTACTACTTACGGTCTCTCCCCAAGGCATCCTTCAGGCTGAAAAGCAATGAAATGTTCTAATATATCGGATATTTCAGTTGCCCGGTGGTCATCTGGCCCGATATAGAGTTACAGCCCATACTCATCGTAGTGAGTCATGAATACCTAAATTAGGCAGAGAACAAATAAAATCCAGAATGAAAAAGACTCTATTTTGGATCTGCGCCATTGGAATGTATTTCTGGGGCAAACAATTATTGGTAGGGATGCCTGCATCGTGGGGCTGAACTGAAGCGCTGACAACAAGTCAGCGCCTCAGGCAGAGCCGTGATTGGGACATGCAGCTCTCAGGCATCATTGCTTTGCTTCTTCCTACTAGTAGAATCCGTAACTGTCCAACAATTTGTCCCTATGCATTGTTGCCTTGTTTTTATCAGCCGCCCTTTTATAATGTGCCATCATCTCACGATCCCTCTCTTACTGCTACTTTCCCGGAGAACTTCCTCGTCAATTCCCTCAATGACCACGCCAGTCTCCGCTCTGTGATCCCTGATTTCCTTTCAACTTCCGCGGTAAGGTTGCTTTCATGCTACCTACTGCTCGTTCGTTCTCGATACATCCCGCGCCCAAGTCGTAGGGCATTGGAAATCTTCCGCCTCATTCTCACCGCCAGAAGAGCCCTCAAGTCGCCGGCCAATCCATTCCAGTTATACGAAGCAAGGCGCCAACCTAGTCTGTGATCTCTGGGCTTAGGCGTCAGAGCTCGTACGTCAGTTCAGATAAGCTGGTTTATTCCGCTCATTGTGGGATATTATATGTATTGATCTTCGCCCTTCTCTTCGTGCACCTGATCCCACCGGTACCTACTACATTCACACCCCAATCCTCCATTTCATTCATAATATCCCGTATTAAACCTGTCACGGCTATATTCCCTCCCACTTACTAGAGGTCACTGACAATGTCATCCAGTGCTACCCCTCTAGATTCTAGCTCTAACAACACAGCTCAACAGTCCGTCACAGAGCCCGAGCCACAAAAAGAGCAAAGCTCGGATCCGCTCTTGACCCCATCTGTTCCGCTCCCCGAAGCAGCTCCACAGCGGGACCTATCTAATCAGCGCCCTGAAGCCATGGCCGATTCCAGCGTGACGACTGCCGCCGCCGCCGGGTCGGAAAATAAACATGAGGCCGAGCCGCCGGTCGACAACAATACTATCAAGCCAGATGCGAAATCATCCGTCGCCGTGTCAGAAAGTGCCTCGGCTTGCAAAAAACATCCGTCCAAGGAAAAAGACCCTAACGGCCGCAATCGCGATTCGAAAAAGAAGAGCCATAAGTCCAAGACCTCGTCCGTAGTCACACCTAGTGATGATAGTTCCGAGGAGTCGGATTCTTCTGCCGATAGCTCCAGCGCTGAGGAATCTGCATCCGAAAACGAAGAATCTCCTTCCAGCTCATCTGAATCGGAGCCAGAAAGGACACATCGGCGGAGAGGGACAAAGAACAAGACAAAGAAGTCGCTGAGGAGCAGTCGGAAGAAGAAGTCTCGGTCGCAATATGAATCCGAGTCTGAGTCCGACCCAGATGAAAGTGAAGATGACGATACCGCCCTCGATGAGAAGGCTGTCAAGCGGCTTGTATCCAAGCTCAGGGCGCGAAAAAAGGCTAAGAAACTCCGGTCCCAGGAGGACTCATCGGAGGACCTGGAGGACTCAGACGAGGAAGCTGACCCAGACGACACGGCACTCTTGCTTGCGGAAGAGCGATTAGCCTCATTGAGACTGAAACGAGGTGATGGTAGGCGTCGTAACAGAACCCGTGGTAAACGGAACTCATCCGACGGCGAAAGAAAGTCCAAGGGCAGAAAGAAAGCTGCTTCAAAGATAGCTTTCAAGCGGGTAGATGAATGTATGTGCGAACCTTGATCAATCTGCTGATCAGAACGACCAGTGCTAACCAGATGATTTGGCTCTCAGTGTGGGATAATACCATCCATAACTTCAAGCTTACAGAGACTATGGATGACCCAGATGCCAATGAATGGGACCAATATCTCTTCACCGTACGCCGCAAATTTGACTGGGATAACAAGTACACGGAAACCGTGGTAGATTTGAAAAGCAAGTACATTCGCGATGCACTTACCAAGGTGATGGATGGCGTTAAGGGGGTCAGCTTAGTGCAGGAGACAGCCGTCGTTGACCCCAATATGCTTTTCTTATATCTTGAAGAGACCCGCCAATACATGAAAGACCTAAAGCAACAGGCTAAAACGGAGAAAAAGAAAAAAGCTAAAAAGGTAGCTGCAGCCAAGGCGGCCCATCTCAAGGTTCTCGTCAAGTACCTGGATACGGACTACGCCGAGACCAAGAAGACCTTGTATCCGCTGCTAGAAGCCAACACAATTACCTTCGATCTACTCTGGGCGTTGTTCAAGCCGAACACCATTGCATACACCCCGACGTACGGGAATCAGGACGAGCCACGCGCATTTAAGCTCGAGTATGCCACCAAGGAGTCCTCTTTCATGAAAGGCCAGTGGTACAGTATTGAAGGCCGCTACCTTGAATATGATGGGAAATCCTTTGGCATGGGAACAATGTTGGCCGAAGTGGAAAGCTTCAAGGGTGCTCGCAAGATAACCAGCCTCAGCTGTTACCCGCTGAAGTACCATCGAGAGGCTGAGGACGTTAAAACCAAATTAATTGAGAGAGGCAAGAAGTTTGTATCAATGAGAGGTATGAACTACCGGTTCCACAAAGGCATGGCTTTCTACAAGAAGAAGCGGTCTGTCATCAAAGTCAACATCAACGGAAGAGTTATGATCGATCCTGCAATTCACCGCCGGATCAACCCTAACTATCCCATCAGCACTGTCCGCCCGAAAGATGCAGATTATATCGATGACTCCGACGCTGCCGGTAGTGATGGCGGATGCTGCTGCGTGTCAGAATCTGACTCAGATGGCCCATACGTCCACCGTCGGGACTCAGATGCCCCTAGAGTCCGGTACAAAGTCATCCAGGATAAGGAGGGCACACCGCACGTGGTTGAAGTTGAGCTAGATGAGAATGGCAATGAAATCCACAAGGAGCAAATGGACCAAGTAGAGGACCCATCCGAGAGAGACTTCACCGAAGAAGAACTGCTGATAGCCAGTCCGGTGGTTCTGGGATTTGCCTTCAGCGAGAAATTATGGTTAGAATTCAGCATCTCGGGCATCAGCGACATCGACTGGAATGAAGACGCATTCGATTCGCTGGTCCTTCCAGACAATCAGAAATCAATTGTCAAGGCCCTTGTGGAATCCCACACTTTCTGCGCCGCACAGAACATCGACGACGTTATTCAAGGCAAGGGCAAAGGTCTAGTCGCTGTGCTCCACGGACCACCAGGCACAGGCAAAACCCTGACAGCCGAAGGCATCGCCGAGCTGCTCAAACGTCCATTGTACATGGTCAGCGCGGGAGAGCTCGGAACGGACTCCCGGACCCTGGAAGCTGAGCTCAACAAGATCTTAGATATCGCCCATTCCTGGGGCGCCGTGCTCCTGCTCGACGAAGCAGATATATTCCTCGAGAAGCGCACGATCCAGGATATCCACCGCAATGCTCTCGTTAGCATCTTCCTCCGTCTCCTGGAGTACTTCCAAGGTATTCTTTTCCTGACAACTAACCGAGTGGAAACCTTCGACGATGCCTTCCAATCCCGTATCCACGTCGCCCTGCGGTACGGCGACCTCACCACCAAGGCGAAGCGAAGCGTATGGAAAATGTTCCTTGAGAAAGTCCAAGCGATGGACGGCGTGCAAACAGCAACCTTCACCGAGAAAGACTTCGATGCTCTGGCTCGACATAATCTCAACGGACGACAGGTAAGCTTACCCCATCCACTACATCTCCAATCCATCCTAAAGAACCCAAAATTAATACATACCCCAGATCAAAAACTCCGTCCGCACCGCGCAAGCCCTAGCCGTCAACGAGAGAACCCCTCTCTCCATGGAACACATCAAGAGAGTCTTAGAAGTAGCAGAAACATTCGACCACGATCTCCGCGGTGGAACAGGATACATCGATGCGATGAGAAGCTACACATAAGACACAACAAATACAAGAGCAGATACGACTTACGAGCGATAACTAACACAAGAATATGAGAAACGCAATGAGAAATGAAATGAGATGATACGAGATCGTCACGATTTTTTCCTCGAGAGATTAGCTATTCGTTGGTGTTCAGTCCATCTTATTAATTTATTTAACTTTTGATCTTGTTTTTCGCGGACTGAGGCGTTCCCTTTTTGGTCCTGGCCTTCTCTCTCCTCTTTTCGTGCATTTCGTTCTTCATTTGTTTATGTTTCATATCTGTGGCGGGTCTTGGTTTGATTGGTATTTCTTTTTTTAACGATGAGGGATGAATTCACGAAAACCTTGCAGATGGCCTGGTTCTGGGGGTTTTAGGATAAGAGATAGAGGAATAAAGACAGAATTAAGAATGGAGACCAAGATAATCACATCGCATCAGATAAGATCGATCTATATGCCTCGGTAAAGCGGGTCCATCGGTTTTGTCACATATCGCATCATGGCTACAAGTTGTATACAGGATATCTTAGACGAGGCATTGGGGTAGAATACGGAAATCAGGGGAATCAATTATATTTTCGGAAAAGTTTAAGAAATACATGTTCGTCGCCTTTGCCATCATGAAACGGCGCAGAAGGAATCGTCAATTGACTATCCATCAGCTCGTCATTGCTCCAGAAACAAACTGCAGCTGCATCTCCTCCAATATAAAGCCGATGCAAGTGGAAGCATACACGATGGGTAATAGGCGTAAAATGTCATACACATGACTATTATACAAGGAGGAAAAGAGCTGCAGACGGTCTAGTTTACCTCATGAGAGTAATTTAAGGGTTGGCCTTGACGAAGTCGATACCCTTCTGGATGTTCTTCTTGAGGTCACCAAGGCAGGCCTCGAGGAGCTTCTCCTCGTAGGCGTTGACCTGGCCAACGGGGAGGATCTTCTCAACACCGTTGGGGCCGAGTTCAACCTTGGAGGCGAAGAAGTCAACACCCTGGTCCTTGTAAAGAGGGCTGTCGACGAAGGTGGGCTCAACGACACCCTTCTCACCCTGAGCGGCCCTGAGGAGGGACTCAGCCATGCGAGCACCAGCCATGGCCATGGAGAGGGTGGCAGAGCCAGCACCATCCTTGGCCTTGACAACCTCATCACCACCGAACTGGATGCGGTTGACAAGAGTATCGCGGGTCTCACCCTCAATGCTGGGGTGGTTGGACTGAGAGAGGAGAGGGACGATGGTCACACCGGAGTGACCACCGACGACAGGGACGGCCTCGTTGGAGGGGTCGGTCTTCTGGACCTGAGAGATGAAGCGAGAGGCACGGACAACGTCAAGGGTGGTGACACCGAAGAGACGCTTGGGGTTGTAGACACCCCTGGCCTTGAAGACCTCGGAGACGATGGGGACGGTGGAGTTGACCTGATTACAATTAGCGCGAGAAAACTGGGGACATTGGGTAAAAATCATCATACAGGGTTGGAGATGACGAGGATGTTGGCCTCGGGAGAAGCCTCGGCAGCGGCCTTAGCAAGGTCGCGGACAATGGAGGCATTGGTGTTGAAGAGGTCTGACGATAATGCAATCAGTATTCGGTTTCCAGTGCCATTGAAAAGTCAGGATGCCCATACCGTCACGGGTCATGCCGGGCTTGCGAGGAACACCGGCAGGGATGAGGACGATCTCGGAGCCCTTAAGAGCATCACGGAGGCCAGATTCGGTAGGGTCGAAGCCAGAAACGGTGCTGTTGGTGTTGATGTGGCTCAGGTCAGCGGCAACACCTGTTGCATCACGCATGTTAGTCCTGTCTTTAAATCACCGAAGTCGGAGATGTTGCAAGCTGTGCAAAAACATACCAGGGCCACCGCGGATGTCGTAGAGAGCAAGCTCAGAAACACGGGGGTTGAGCTTGAGAAGAAGGGAGAGAGGCTGGCCAATGCCACCAGCGGCACCAAGAACGGCAACCTTGGAAGCCTGTGAACAAGAAGGTAAGTTAGTATGTTGGTTTTGTTGTTGCAGAGCTAGCTCCGAGGTCCAGAAACAGAAAGGTTCAATGGGTTCAATCACACACCTGGCTGGCAGAGGCGGAGAAGGCGCGCTTCTGGAGGAGGTTGAAAGACTGGCGAGCAGCGAACATTGTGAATGATGTGTAGGAATGGATAGAATGAATTCTATCTAAGAGAAATGGAGAGGTGAGGTGGAGAGAGAAAAGAAACGAGGATGAGAAAGGAGAGAAAGGAAGAAAGGAAAGAGGAATCGGCGGCCGTTGGTTGCCGGTGAGAAGGAATTCACTAACGAATTTGGTTTGTTGGCGGCTAAATCGCTCCGTTTCCGATTCTTTCCCCACGCACGGCTGACTCGGAATCATTCGTCACTTCACATGGGGACCGGCCTCAACCCTCGTATAATATAATTTGTATAAATACCCGACTTGTGTTTATTTTGGTTCCCGGTCTCAACTCGAACAGTCCATCACATTCATGACCATGTAGCCTTTCAGTTGAACTCAATGGCATATAGTTACAAAAGAAAATATAAAAAGAGTATAGAATGATATCATAATGCAATCCGAACACCTGCGCTTGTGAAACAAACCCAAGCAACATCCAGAGAACCCACACTGACAGTCAACAAAAAGATCATAATTTATCTCACAAAGTGCAATACAGCCCAGCAGAAGAGGAAGAATATCACGACCCCACCCCAGAAAATCCACTTGTCCTGCTTAGCCCGTCGCTCCACTTTTCGAATGGTTTCACCGCTGACTCCCAGGGTGTTAGCAACACTATACAGCCGGCGCTGCGTCCCCTTCAACACTTCTCGCTGCTGTCCAAGATCCGCAAGTACAGCACGTCCCCGGTCCAGGAAGTCATCAAGCTGCGTGCTCGTGTTGGCCAAGAAAGATTGCTCGCGAAGCGCATGAGTCTCACGGTTGTAATCTGCGGGTGAAGCGCCGAAACTGAGCCCTCCGCGGGATGAAGACGGAGCGAAGGCCGACGACTGTGGAAGGGAAGATTGGGCGTATGGGTTTTCTGGTGTCGCTGTGTGATGTGGACGTCGACCAAGTAGTTCATTACGGTTTGTCACGGATTGCTATAACATCCAAGATTATCAGGGTCAGCGGACATCATGGTTGGCAGAGTCCAAACAAGTCCCAAAAACTTACCGCATCCTCTCGTTCTTTGCGTAGCCGATCGAAATGCTGTCGGTAATCTGTGAGCTCCGACCGAAAATTACTGCAGAACCATGTCTCAGCCAGCCTGTCTCGATGATCAACTTGGCTACAATTTCATACTTTACTCTCTCGAACGCCTTCTGTTGTTTTTCGGGTATCAATTCTTTCTTCGATAAAGCTGAGTAGTCATCGACTGTGCGTGATAAGGAAGCAAGTGAAGCTGCGATCTGGCCTATAGCGTTGCATAAGTTTCCGTCACAACTGAAGGCTTGTACTTGTTTATCTTTGTAGTGCGAAAGTTTAGTCAGTACCTTGTAATGCGGGCGAGGATGTGGCAGGAGACTGCGCGAATGTGTCCAGATCTCGACGGATAGCAGAGGACTGCTTCAAAGCCGAATTAAAAAGAGAGTTCTTTGCAGAATACACCTGTTAGACACAATTCAATAACCAGACGTCAGCACGAGTGACGTACCATTTTCCACAGGCAACCCCGTTACGGTGGGCTCTTTGCATATAAACACAGGACAGGCTTAGGAAACCGGACGGTATATGACAGAGTCTGCTGTCGTAGGAGGACCTTGAGTGCAATGCGCTGAGCAACTCTCACTAATATGTGATTTTGGCGGAACAGCAATGTGGGTGTTTTGTTTGTACCTTTACTAAGTTCTTGTAGATAATGCCGGCCAAGGCCACATGTTCTTGCAGTCGCACAATTCTGACGCCGCTGACCGCCTCCCGGCGCTGCTTTTTTTAGCTTGTCCGACTATTTCAATTGTCATTGTTTCTTAGCAATACTCAACTATAAATTGACCTTCGCAAATTTATTATTGCTGTATAAACCATTGGCATGACTAGCATTTGGCTTAGTCATATTATGGCTCATGATTAATTTGATTGTACTTTACTTGAGGCTCAATTACTCGCGACATACTTTGGTTGGTTAAAATATATTATAGACAACAATGATACTCCGATGACAAACGAGGAGAAGGGTATGCCATTATGAATTACTGATACAACAATAAAATCCACCACTGCGCCAACTCCAGCCCTTAGGAAGTGTGGGTAACAGAGCTATGATGAAATATATGACAGATCATATAGAACAGGCCCCGAGACTGAACGCCAGGACAGCAATACCCTCTATCTATTTGGGAGGGTACTTGTTCTGAAGAAACCATCTAATAGAATTAAGCATTAGCAAAAGGGCTTAAAGATTGACATTGAGCACACCAACTTACTTGCTGACGAAATAATCAACTGCACCAAATGCCCCAACAGCACCGGACCAAAGTCCAATCAGCTCCCAGGAGAGTTTGCCTTCAGCATGTTTCCGGTATGCACCGAACCCCAGCCCTGCGCCTACCAAGCTGAGAAGCACAGCGTTGCCGATATAGACAGGATTATCCGAGTTGCGGCAAACGCCAGAAGCCTTAGCCTTGGCCTTGGCCTTGGCTTTGGCTTTCTGTTCTTCCCTCGCTTTCTTGTTTTCCTCAGACTCTTCCCGTTCTACCCGCTCAGCTTGAGTGGTGGTCTTGATGTCTTGATCCAGGAAATCTGACTCCACGACGGTGACGTGTTGCGAATCTACATCGACTAACGAGGCGGTGCTCTCGGATTCATCCTTATAGACTCCACCAACGCTTGGGGCACGGCTTTATTTCAATTAGTCAGAGGGACATCCTGGTGCGTAACTAGTTTTATAGACAGGCCATGTGTCGACTTACGCCTAACTGGAGAGTTAGTCCTGACACCAACATGTGCAAGATTATTGTGCAAGATTATTGGAGGCAAAGAAGGTATGGGTAGGGATGTCACATACCTCTTCTGCAGACTGCTCCGGGCCCTTAGCGGCTACTTCGGCGTAGGACATGTTTGGAGTGCAACGTAGATAGAAGATTGGAAGGTTATGTATTTATGGTCTGCGGCAGAGTTAGTTCGGCGGAAGCATGGCTAGAAGACTGTAACACGAGATCTATCATGGTTTGTAGAGGACACAATATTGGCCTACCTGGAAAAGTTAAAGGAAAGGGATACGGATCGAAGGGGGAACTGAGAATGGCACTTTAAAGGCACTGTCAGATGGAAATGAAGTAAAGTTTGAGAGAAGACGCATGCATGGATTTATACGAATGCCAGGGCGCAGGAGCAGCCGTGAAAGAATGACATCACGTCACTGATCAGCCGGTGGAGTTGGAGCACTGCCAAGACCCGCCATCGTCACATTCGACTGTAAAGAAAAAGGCTTGGCTCTCGTCGAGAATTGAGTCGAAAGGAATTAATTAAATTTGGAACATGATTAGTGACTTGCGATTGGTACTGGGCTTAGAGAATTGTCTTCAATCAGACGCCTCTGCAGTCAACAGCAGCCTAACTACGGATTTGACCCAGGAATAGAATTTTTAAGGGAACATAGGAAATGGATTTAGATCTGATGCACTGTACTTGACAGACCAATTACGGTCAAAAAACACTAGAATGATTTTTAATACATATTAAAACAAATGCTAAAAGGAACTCCGGTCGTAGATAGGTAATACATCTGGCATTTTGGAATCCCAAACAGACCAGATCGACCTTAGAGCAGCAGCTCCAAGGGGTTCTCAACAACCTTCTTCAGCTCCTTAATCCATTCAGCACCAACGGCACCGTCGACCACCTTGTGGTCGAAGCTACCGGTCACAATGATCTGGTCGTCCCACACAACCTCGGTACCGTTCTCGGTCTCGACAGGGACGGCAACCTTGCGGGTGGTACCGACAGCCAGGATACCAGCCTGAGGGGGGTTGATAACGGCAGTGAACCGCTCAACGGCAGGGTTCATTCCCATGTTGCTGATGGTGAAAGTACCACCCTGGTACTCCTCCGGCTTAAGCTTGTTGTCGCGAGCGCGCTTGCCAAGGTCCTTGATAGAGTTAGAGATGCTGGAGAGGCCGAGACCCTGGACGTTCTTCACAACAGGAGTGATCAGTCCAGCAGGGGTGGCAACGGCAACACTGATGTCGGCAGTCTTGTGCTGGCGGATGACAACCTGGCCGTTCTCCTCGTGCCAGCTGGAGTTGACAGCAGGTACCTTCTGAAGAGCAGCGGCACAAGCCTTGACAAGGAAGTCATTGACGGAAAGCTTGTACTTGCCATCGGCGGAGGCGTTAAGGGCCTGGCGGAGCTTCTGAAGCTTGGTGACAGACAGAGTAGTCGAGACGAAGAAGTGGGGGTTCTCTCTGGTAGATTGCTGAAGGCGGTTGGCAATAGTCTTGCGCATGGAGGTAAGAGGGATATCCTCATAGGTAGGACCAGCAGCGGCAGAAACGCTGGGCTTGTACTTCTCAACATCCTCCTTGGTGATCTGACCGCCTCTGCCAGTACCCTTAAGGGCCTTGATTGGCACACCCTTCTCCAGAGCAAGAGCCTTAGCAGCGGGGCTGATGGTAGGCTCGCGGTCAAGACTGGGCTGAAGCTTCTCGCCCGAGGTCTCGGGCTCCTGAGCAGCAGGCTCGGGGGCAGGTGTAGAAGCGGGAGCAGCATCAGCAGCACCCTTGGACTCTTCCTTGCTCTCCTGAGCTGGGGCAGCGCCCTTGTCACCACCGGCATCCTCAGCGGTGAACGACTCGAATGACGAAACATCAGTACCCTCTTCGACGAGGACGGCGATAGGCTGTTGACGCGCAATTAGTAAATGCAATACGGGGACACAATGAAAATTTGCATCGCAGCACATACAGAACCGACAGCAACCTCCTTCTCACCAGTTTCCTTCAGAACCTTAGCCAAGACACCTTCTTCTTGGAACTCAAAGTCCATCTGTGCCTTATCGGTCTCAATCTCGACCAAAACATCTCCGGGCTGCAGGGCATCGCCGGGCTTCTTTTGCCAGGCACCGATGTTTCCAGCAAGCATTGTTGGCGACAAAGCAGGCATGCTGATGATAGTGTGAGGGGGGAAGGCTGCCACTCGACATGTTAGAATTCGACGACTGCACTATGAGATAGCAGGGATAAAATCTGGACGGGCGTACACTTGGAGGCATAGTAGCGGGAAAGGGCAGCGAAGGCGGGCAATTGGGGTCTGAAAATAGGGATAACAACGTCAGCCTTTCTGAATATGAAATTTGAGAGTTAAAGCGAAGGCTATAACATACTGAACAGCATCCTTGAATCTGTGCATAACCTGCGGCCTCCTCAGGGAGGAGGCGCCTTTGATGAGCATGGCGCTGGGAGTGCGCATCCGGACAGCACTGGCGACCATGGTGCCTGAATGCTGTGAGTATGATACAATGAAAGGGCCCGGGATGCGACAAAGAGAGGAGAGAGGATGGAAGGGCGGGCGAGAGGTATATCTGGCAGGTGGAAGGGCCCGGTATCAAAGAGTTGAGGAGTGCAGCTCTAGGAACTTTTCTGTTGAGCTTCCCGGTGAGAGATCGGAATAGTGTCGCCGGGTGCCGCCGGTGTCCTGCTTAGGTAAGTTGTAAGCAGGTCTCCGTCGCGTACCTGGCACGAATCGGCGTCCGTAGATTATCCCCGTCCGCCGGAGAAGACACGCATCAGTTCCACTAGCGGGCTAGTAACTTAGTATGGAGTGCTACTCTCCTCACTGCTTCTAGTCCTGAATTTACTTGTCCATGTGGACCCCTCATATGCCTTATTTGGATTGCTCCGGACGGAGTCTCGCATAAATGGCGGAAGTTGAGAATGGCTCTGCCAATGAGCCAACCCAAACACCTCCGGCTCTGTCGCAGGCAGACAACAAAGAGCATGGGGTAGATGTTTCCACGCACTCCGAAGCCCCCGATGCTGTCCAAGAGGATAAGCCCACGCTCCCCGAGGAGATGGAATGCCTAAAGATCGATGTGGATGATTCACAAGGTCACAGGCAAGTACAAACCGAATTGGACTCTACTGAACCTACTGAGCCTGTAGAAACACCTTCAGCACCCCCGAAGGACGCTGTTCAGCCCCCAGCATCCGAACAGTCGGAAGCGAAGGATGAAAATGCAGACAACACACAAGATGATGGACAGGAAGTTAGTCTCGAACAGAGCTCTCCCGACGAGAACCCAGATAGAGAATCTGTACCGCCTCAAGATTTGCCTGCCCCGGACCCTCGCGTGCGCTCAGATTCGAGGTCAACGACTGCTACGTTTGCAACGCACCGTTCAGTTCCCGTTAGCTCCACTGTCTTCATTGTAACAGCGCTTGACACCATTGGCGCATCCCGAGAAGCCCGGAGAACCAAAGAATTAGAGGACGCCGTGAAGAGTGCAACTGCGAATGTCAAGCAATCGGATGGCCAACCCATAGATCCGGAAGTTATCTTTCGCCCTTTACTTCTTGCAACCAAGACTCTTAGCGTCCCTCTGCAAGTAACAGCACTCGATTGCATCGGGAAACTTATCACCTATTCATACTTCGCTTTCCCTAGTGCCCAGGATGGCAATGTCTCCCAAACCGAACCCACGCAAGAGCATCCACCGCTGATTGAACGAGCTATCGATGCGATCTGCGACTGTTTCGAGAACGAAGCCACGCCCATCGAGGTCCAACAACAAATACTAAAATCACTCCTTGCGGCAGTTCTAAATGACAAAATTGTGGTTCACGGAGCTGGTCTCCTTAAAGCTGTCCGCCAGATATACAATATTTTCATCTACTCGAAGTCCAGTCAAAACCAGCAGATCGCCCAGGGATCGTTGACTCAGATGGTCAGCACAGTTTTTGACCGTGTTCGCGTGAGGCTTGAATTGAAAGAACTACATATGCGCGATGGCGAAAAGGCACAGGGGTCCTCTTCTGACACTGTAACCCTGGATCCCACGGAAACCCCTCAAACCAATGATGAAGACCAAGCGTCTGACGTCGCCTCTGCTACCGTCCCGGATCAACCCGTTGCTAAGGAACCTACTGAGAAGTTGACATTGCAAAGTTTCGAGTCGAACAAAGACATTACATCCGTGAATGACAATGCCCCAACAACAGTTACGCGCGCCAAGGCCCGCCAGACCCCAGTGAGGTCCTTATCAATTTCAGGGGAGGAGAGAGAAGACGGTGAAGGCTTAGATGATGATGAAGACGAAGTATATGTTAAAGATGCTTTCCTGGTTTTCCGAGCTCTATGCAAGCTGAGTCACAAGATCCTTAGCCACGAACAACAGCAGGATTTGAAGTCTCAAAACATGAGATCAAAACTGTTGTCTCTGCACCACATTCACTATCTAATCAACACTCACATTGCCGTTTTCACGTCCCCTCTATTGACGATCAAGCAAAGCTCCAACAGCTCGGACGCTATGACTCTTCTACAAGCTGTTCGGCCTCACCTTTGCCTAAGCCTTAGCCGAAACGGCTCCAGCTCGGTGCCCAGAGTTTTCGAGGTGTGCTGTGAAATCTTCTGGCTTATGCTCAAGCATATGAGAGTGATGATGAAAAAAGAACTTGAAGTGTTCTTGAAAGAGATTTATTTAGCTATACTTGAGAAGCGAAATGCACCCGCGTTTCAGAAGCAGTATTTTATGGAAATTCTGGAAAGATTGGCAGACGACCCGCGTGCGTTAGTTGAGATATATCTCAATTATGACTGCGACAGGACCGCACTGGAGAACATCTTCCAAAACATCATCGAACAGCTTTCTCGCTACGCCAGCGTACCAGTCTCCATTACCGCAGCCCAGCAGCATCAATTCCAGGAGCACCATGTCAAAATCTCTCGTTTAGGACTTGAGTGGCACCAACGCGGTACTTTACCTCCGACTCTCACTACCGCTAATGTAGCCAACATTCAACAGGCTAATCTGCAGGGTGTTCCTTCTGAGTATACGCTCAAACACCAATCGGTCGAATCTCTTGTTGAGATACTGCAATCATTAGACAATTGGGCCTCTCAGCGTATGGCAGATCAGGCTGTCACTAATATCTCGTCTCAGAAATCCATTGACAATTCGAGAGAGTCATTGGACACAAATGCCGGTGCATTCCTTTCATCCCCAAGGGTCGATGTTGCCGAGGGTGGAACCGGTCGGTCAACACCTGTGGCAGAGGACGATCCAAGCCAGATGGAGAAAGTCAAGCAAAGAAAGATTGCGCTCATGAATGCCGTCCAGCAGTTCAATTTTAAACCTAAGCGTGGCATCAAACTATTCATACAAGAAGGTTTCATCAAGTCCGATCCTGCTGAGATTGCGTCCTTGTTATTCCGTAATGACCGGCTAGACAAGGCTATGGTAGGAGAATATCTTGGTGAAGGTGACGCCGAGAACATTGCTATCATGCATGCGTTTGTTGATATGATGGATTTCACAAAGCGGCGCTTCGTTGATGCTCTTCGTGGCTTCCTGCAACATTTCCGTCTGCCTGGAGAGGCACAGAAGATTGATCGTTTCATGCTCAAGTTTGCAGAGCGCTACACAACCCAAAATCCAAATGCTTTCGCAAATGCTGACACGGCTTACGTTCTTGCATACTCCGTCATCTTGCTTAACACAGACCTGCACAGCAGCAAGATGAAGGGCCGTCGTATGACGAAGGAGGAGTTCATAAAAAACAACAGGGGTATCAATGATAATCAGGACTTACCTGAGGAATATCTTACGTCTATTTACGACGAGATTGCAGGTAATGAAATCGTTCTTGATACAGAAAGAGAACACGCCGCAAACGTAGGAATGCCCACAGGCACACCTGGAGGGTTGGCATCAAGGGCTGGACAAGTCTTTGCCACAGTGGGGAGGGACATCCAAGGCGAAAAGTACGCCCAGGCCTCTGAAGAGATGGCTAACAAGACCGAGCAACTTTATCGAAGCTTGATTCGGGCGCAACGAAAAACGGCAGTCAGGGAGGCTCTCTCGAGGTTTATTCCTGCTACCTCTGTCCGACACGTTGGTTCTATGTTCAATGTCACCTGGATGTCTTTCCTTTCCGGCCTGTCTGCCCCAATGCAGGACACCCAGAACCTTGAAATGATTAAACTGTGCATGGAAGGAATGAAGTTAGCAATCCGAGTTAGCTGTTCGTTCGACTTGGAGACTCCCAGAGTTGCATTTGTAACGGCTCTGGCTAAGTTCACGAACTTGGGCAACATTAGAGAAATGGTGGCAAAGAATGTCGAGGCTTTGAAAGCTCTGCTTGATGTAGCACTTACAGAAGGGAACTATCTCAAAAGCTCCTGGAGAGAGATCCTCACATGCGTTAGCCAGCTGGATCGGCTCCAACTTCTCACTGACGGCGTTGACGAAGGATCATTACCCGATGTTTCGCGGGCGCGTATCGTGCCTCAAGCATCATCAGATGGTTCCCGCAAATCCTTCCAATCATCAAGACGGCCGCGCCCTCGATCAATCAATGGTCCTACGGCCTTCCGCACCGAAGCTGCAATGGAAAGCCGATCTGCTGAGATGATTAGGGGTGTGGATCGAATCTTCACGAATACTGCCAATCTCTCTCATGAAGCCATCATTGACTTCATCCGGGCACTGAGTGAAGTAAGTTGGCAAGAGATCCAGTCTTCCGGACAAACCGACTCTCCACGTACCTACAGTTTGCAAAAGCTCGTTGAGATTAGTTACTATAACATGACGAGAGTTAGGATCGAATGGTCTAAAATTTGGGAAGTCCTTGGACAGCATTTCAACCTTGTTGGATGTCACTCCAATACAACGGTGGTCTTTTTTGCGCTGGACTCGCTTCGTCAGCTGTCGATGCGCTTTATGGAGATCGAAGAGCTTCCAGGTTTCAAGTTTCAAAAAGATTTCCTCAAACCATTTGAGCATGTCATGGCTAATAGCAACGCGGTAACCGTAAAAGATATGATTCTGCGATGTCTTATCCAGATGATTCAGGCCCGCGGAGATAACATTCGCTCTGGTTGGAAAACGATGTTTGGCGTCTTTACAGTCGCTGCTCGCGAGCCCTACGGTAAGCGATGGTTCCCCCGGGTTGCTATCTGAAATTCGCTAATTTGATTATAGAGGGCATTGTGAATATGGCTTTCGAACATGTTACCCAGATCTATAACACACGGTTTGGTGTTGTGATCACACAGGGAGCTTTCCCCGATCTGGTCGTATGTTTGACAGAGTTCTCTAAGAACTCGAAGTTCCAGAAGAAGTCGTTACAGGCTATCGAAACTTTGAAGTCAACTGTCTCAAAAATGCTCAGAACGCCTGAATGTCCTCTTTCTCATCGTGGCTCGTCAGCTGAAGAATTCCATCATGATGAAAATACGAACCTTGCCAAGCAACTTAGCCGCCAATCTAA